CGCCATGCTATGCCATGCTACGCTTTGATCTTCAACGCCATGGTATGTCATGTTCTATTATGTGCCGATGTGCGATGCCATTATTTGCGTTGCAAAGCTGTGTGATGCAATTCTTCATTACGCAACGCCACGCCATGCTATGACATACTACGCTCTGCCGTGCTCTTATACGCCCTGCTATGCCGTGCTGTACGATGCATCGCGCACCTTATCGGGATCATTGCCCTGCTCGACATCCGACGGTGTGAATAGAGAGGATATCTACGCCATGGTAAGGGATGGGGGGGAAGGGTAGGACATCAGATATGACGCGAGTGCTTCTAGCTTGTCGCTCTCCCCTCCCCCTCGTCCTCCTCGTCCTCCTCCTCCGCTGCCCAAGCCTCTTGGCGGCCTCAGGCCGATAGGTATCTTCACGTCGCCGTACCGATTGTGGGGCAAGTGTAGGAGGCAGGAGGCTTTGATGTGAGAGGAGAGTAATCAGCATATAATGTTCGCGGCGTACGGTTTCAAGTCAGCGTCCGACGTTGCTTGGAGACAGACTGCCAAGAGCGAGGTGGCCGTCCAGCAAGGTTTATGCTCGGCATCTCTTCTCTGGGACATGTGCAAGTTTTACGAAACTATAGATCTGGAGGGCTTAGAGGCCATGTGTGAGGAGTCTGGTTTCACGATGGTGGTTTGTAGGCTGTGCATTTCGGCCGATCGGGCCCCTCGGTACATCAACATCAGCGGGTTCATCCTGGGCCCTTTCCTGGCGATCCGAGGTGTCATTGCAGGCTGTAGAAAAGCCACCAGTTTGGTCCGAGTGTACTACATGAAAGCTTTCATACATGTTCAGTTGAAGCCGTGTTCCAGCCTTGACTTGTACATCGATGACATGGGCTTGTCAACCCAGGGCCGGTTTCAGGAAGTGTTCGAGGCGATCACGTCTGGCGCGGTAGGCTTGTTTAAAGCGTTGGAAGCCGATATCAAGTGCCATATTGCCCTTGAGAAGGCCAGCCTTACATGCAGTCAGCACAGATTGGGTATGAAGCTTCAGGAGTTCCTGGGCGTTTGGGCGGGTCCAGGGAAAACCACCTCGGCGATCAACCTGGGGACCGACGACACCGCTGGGTTGCCTAGACACGTGAAAAGGCGTTCACAGATAGAGGCGAGTCACTTTCGACAAGCGTGCCAGTAGGATTTGCAGGCAGTGGCAAGTTCTTGGACGCTCAGCGAAGAAGATGTTCACGGGTGGTGCTCTTGCTGGCGTTAATTTCGGCTGTGGGATCCACGGGGCCGCCAAGCAGGGAAGTGTTTCCGTCCTTCTTGCGGGGGCCGTAGTCTTTCTTCTGCTCTTATGTGTGAAGATGATCCTACCTACTATGGGATGGTGGCACCAATATTTAGGTGGGGGAAGGAAGTTTGGGCTGCACGGTATCATCAGCATCTTGGAAGTATGGCCCATAAGGAGCTCAAAAAATGTTGGGCCTCTGTTTTCGCAGGGAAGTTCAAGCCTTCTTCGTGGCGCTCTGTTGCTGATCCGATCACTGCTCTAGACTGACCTGTTCAGCGCCTGGCTGGTCTATGCCTAGTTTTGCCACGCTGTGCACGCACGAAGGCATCTCGGTCTCGCTCACCTTGTCAGCCCGGCTCTCTTGAAAGACATCCTGAGGAAAGCGGTTACCAGGGGGATAGAAACGGGAGTTGGCAGGAAGTTGGAGGTGGGATGGGAGCGAGCTTGTCTCGACGTTTGCAAGACACAGCTGCGTTCTCGTAAGGTTTCTGCTCTTGAGAAGGAGTCAATTCGGAACCTCTGCTGTGGTGGGGCCTGGGCAGCTGACAGGGCCGCCAGCGTCGGGCACCAGCTCGGCGATGAGCAGTTGCTCTGCCCGCTCTGTGGTCTCTGCAGGGATACCGTCCATCATCGCTTATACGAGTGCAGCGCTGTCGAGGAGGTTCGTGCTGAGCTTATCCCTGCTGAGGTCTTAGAGGAAGCTCGAGGTCCTTTATCTGATAGTGACAAAATCTGGTTCGATCGGGGTATCTTCAAGCGTCCCGAAGCTTTGTGGCCTTCCCCTCTTAGTTCGGGTGGTGGGGTGATTCTGCCGTCAGCTGAGGAAGTGGACTTCTCGGAGGAGCTAGTCCAGGGGGACATCCAGGGAATAATATTTGTTGGCGGGAGTTGTTTTTGGCATCCCATTTCAGAGTTTTCGAGGGTTGGGTGGGGGGGGTTGTATGGTCTCCCCCCAGGGCTCCCTTTTGTGCGCTCTACATGGGCCTCTGCATGCTCCCGTCAGCCAAACTGCCCTTGCTGGTGAATATAGTGCCCTCGCTATGGCTGCTCTGCACGTCGTTACTCAGTCTGAACTGTTTTCCGACTGCCCTGCGGTCGTTGACCATTTCCGCTTACCCCTTTGCGAAAGGCTGTCTCATCGTAGAAGATATGCGGTTCATTTCTTTTGTATGTATAATGTCCCATCACGGTCAGGCCGTTCCAAAGTCAAGGTTGATCAGGATTTGGGTGAGCTAGGCATTTCGGAGTTGGATAGGCAGCTGCGGATCGGCAGCGACTTTGCCGACCAAGCTGCCCAGAGAGGGGCGCGGTCCCACCCCCGGCCTTCCTTGTGCGAGGTTGAGCGTGCCAACAGATGTGTAGAGGTCAGCACGGTTGTGTGTAGGCTTGCCGCTAAGCTGCTCCCGCTGAGGCCTAGGCTCAATCTGACTGATTGCCCGCTTGTTTCTCCTTGTCGCACGACCGCCGAGCCAGGGGCGCCTAAGGTTGCCCACCGATGGCAGTGGCAGCATTCAGTGTGGAGGTGCACCGCATGTAGGCCAGGCTCCCGTCCTGCGACCACCCCACCTTGGGGCGATTGCAAAGAAGTCGCCAACCGCGACCTGGATGTAGCCGACTCGCTCGGACACATTCTGATTTTGATGCTTTGCGCTCATTATTGCCTCAAGTGTGGAGCGTATATGCATCGGGCTGCGTTTACAAAAACGGGTCGCTCAAAAGCGTGCCCTAAGGAGTTGCGAGGGCACGGCTTAACACGTTTCAACACAGTAATGCAAGGTAGACACCCCAAAAAACCCTTGGATGTTGGCAGGCCAGACGCGTTGCCAGCTGGAACGGTGCCCCGCTCCTCCTTCGAGCCCCCCCTCCTTGACGGCGACGACGTCGACGATGGAACGAGGGTGCTCCGACGGGTGGCGACCGCTAGGCGTCTGGAAGGCGCCGCCACAGGAGCCCCGAGTGCTGCATCGAGTGCTGATAGCCGTGCGGCACTAGCTCGGGGCGAGGATGGCCGACCGGTGGGCGCCCGCGGGTCTTTCTGGCATGGTTTTGACGGCCAGTCATCACATTCTTTGTCTTCGGATTTGTCCGACGACTCTGGCGGATCGTCCGTCTTCTGTCCGGCAGCCCAAGTGTTGAGGGCCCCTTCCCGCGAAGGCATCCCATGATCCCACGCGCCGCAAGGTCCCGTTTAGTCGGGCCTGGTTGGAAAAATCTTGACGGGGGCCTCCACCTGGTGCTGGTTGACTTGTTTTATGCTGCCTGTTTCATTGTGGCCTTGTGGCCCTTTTCGCTTTTCCAGGATCCCAGTCTCTGGTTTCAAGGTGCTCGGGTCGGGATCGGGCTCCCGCCGAGGGCTTCAGGCCCCTGGCCATGTGCGGGGCCTCTCTCGCGCGTTTCGTGTGCGTGCGCGCGCTGTGGTGTTGTCTGCGCGTGCGTCATGCACCCCGCGTCAGGGGGAAGGTGCGCACTCTCTCTCCTCCTCCCCCTCCACCTCCCGCCACGGGCTGTCGTGAGGGCCGTGGTGGGTGTCGTGGGTTCGATATGTGGCCTTCGTGCCGTCCTTTTCACTGCTGCAGCTGCTTCGGCTCTCTCCCCGCTGTTGCACGGCCGTGCGGTGCTGAAGGTAATGCTTCCCCTGCGGCGTCGGTTGCTCAGCGGGGCAGCCCGTCGGCTGCATGGTCAGACGTTGTGCTGGGCTGGGCTGTGGGCTCGGTCTGGGGCCCTCGTGCCGTCCTTTTCGCTGCCACTCCCGATCGGCCTCTTCCCCGCTGATGCCGTCCGCAGGGTCTAAATGCTTGCCCTGCGTGTCTTGGCTCAGCGGGCGTATCGTGAATTGTTCCGTCATTCGGCGGATGTTTGTTTGTGGCGCCAGCTCGGAGAGTTCAGGTCGGCCTTGCTCCTTGAGGCTGGCGCCCTGTTCGTTTCCCGGTGTTTCCGCGGCACTGCGGGATTGTCAGCTGTTTCCCTTTTCCCGTCCTCCGCCCTCTTCTTTTCCCGTCTCGGCGCGAGTCCCCCCGCAGTTGCCGCGATGTCAGCGGGGGGGCAGGCCGGTGGCGAAAGTGGCAGCGGATGAAACAGACCGCGAGCGCCACCCAGCCCTGCCCCTTCCTCTGGGGGGAGGCGCCGCCCCCCCAGAGCGTACGTCTTGGCAGACGCGTGGATGTCTAAACAAAAATCCTCCTCCTCCTCCTCCTCCTCCTCCTCCTCCTCCTCCTCCTGACTCCCCCTCCTCCTCTTCCTCCTGACTCCCCCTCCTCCTCTTCCTCCTCCTGACTCCTCCTCCTCCTCCTCCTTCTCCTCCTCCTTCTCCTCCTCCTCCTCCTCCTCCTCCTCCTCCTCCTCTCCTCCTCCTCCTCCTCCTCCTCCTCCTCCTCCTCCTCCTATTGTCGGGGCCTTTTGCTTAGCGTGTCGCGCCGCAGGTTCTGGCCCACCGCGCTGCGGCGCGACGCGCCATCCGTGTCCTGGTCCCCAGGCGTCCACGTTCCGAGCCTTTCGAAGTTCCCTGCCCCGCGGAGCGGGGCGACACGCTGTCCGCTCTCAGTAGTTGGGGCCGCCGCCGCGACGCAGAGCACAAGTTCCTGACCGTGACCCCTCCTCGACCCTCTCTCCCGGGCCCCCCCTCCCCCTGCCTCCCCCGCCCCGTTTACCTCCTTGCCCTCCTCCTCGCTCTCCCCTCCTCGCCGCCCCCCTGCCCCCTCCCCCCTGCCTCCCCTCCGCGGCCACGGAGGCCCAGAACGAGGCCGCGGAGGCCCAGTCAGAGGCGGAGGTGCTCAGGAACCAAGTCAGGGTGCGGGGCTCACGCGGCGGCCTCGCGGCTGCGCCCGAGAATCGAGGTGCCCAGACACCCAACGTATTGAACAGATTCAAGACGACGTTTTTCCCCAAACAGCTTGCTGAACGGGGTGCTGTTGTGATAGAAGCTAACTCCGGCCGAGGGAATTCAAAGCAGAGACGTCCTCAAAAAAATGTGGTGGTCCGGGCCGTTTCGCCTGAGAGATCCTCGCAACTCTCGTTTGTGAGTTGTCCGGGATTGGGCGTTTCGCGTGAGACATCCTCCAAATTCTGAGTTCCCAGATGCCGCGCAAGAGGTGGTCCGGCCCGTTTCGCCTGAGACATCCTCGAAACTCTGAGCTCCCAGATGCCGCGCGAGAGGTGGTCCGGCCCGTTTCGCCTGAGACATCCTCCAATCTTTAAGCTCCCAGATTCGAAACTCTGAGCTCTGAGATGCCGTGCGCGAGAGGTGGTCCAGCGCGTTTCGCCTGAGACATCCTCGCAACTCTAAGTTTTGAGATGCCGCGCAAGAGGTGGTCCAGCCATTTTCGCTTGAGACATCCTCGAAACTCTGGGCTCCGAGATGCCGCGCCAGACGTGGTCCGGCCCGTTTCGCCTGAGACATCTTCGAAACTCTGGGCTCCGAGATGCCGCGCCAGACGTGGTCCGGCCCGTTTCGCCTGAGACGTCCTCCGAACTCTGAGCCCTGATATGCCGTGCGCGAGGTGGTCCGGCCCGTTTTGCCTGAGACATCCTCGCAACTCGAAGTTTTGAGATGCCGCGCGAGAGGTGGTCCGGCCTGTTTGGCTTGAGACATCCTCCAAACTCGGAGCCCCCAGATGCCGCCCGAGAGGTGGTCCGGCCCGTTTCATTTGAGAAATTCTCGCACTTCTGCATTCCGAGATGCCGCGCGAGAGGTGGTCCGGCCCGTTTCGTTTGAGACGTCCTCGAAACTCTGAGCTTTGAGATGCCGCGCGCGAGGTGGTCTGGCTCGTTTCGCCTGAGATCTCCTCGAAACTCTGAGCTTTGAGCTGCCGCGCAAGAGGTGGTCCAGCCCATTTCGCCTGAGGCATCCTCGCAACTCTGACCTCGGAGATGCCGCGCCCGACGTGGTCCGGCCCGTTTCGCCTGAGACATACTCGCAACTCTGAGCTCTGAGATGCCCTGCGCGAGGTGGTCCGGCCCGTTTCGCGTAAGACATCCTCGCAACTCTGAGCTCTGAGATGCCGTGCGCAAGGTGGTCCGGCCCGTTTCGCGCAAGACATTCTCGCAATTCTGAGCTCCCAGATGCCGCGCAAGAGGTGTTCCAGCCTTGGGTCCCAGAAGCTCACATGTTACATATCCCCCCTGGGACCCTGGGAGCCCCAGGAGGCCCCAGAGAGCTTCAGGAGGCCGCAGGACGCCCAGGACAGGCCCCAGCGGTCCCCAGGAGATTCCCAGGAGGCTCCCAGGAGGCCCCAGGAGGCCCCCTATCAGAACGTGTCAAGTTAATACACATCCGGTGTCGATTCGTTGATTGATCATGGGCTTACGCCACACCGCCGACCCCTTGAGATATCTCGGAAGGCCTTGGGTGGGGGGGGGGTCCGTGCAGCATGAGCAATCCGTCTCTCGCTATCTCGCGCGTGGTTTTGTCTTGTGCAGTGGCCCCCCATGTCGCCGCGCCAAATTGCCGCCGGTTGCTGCGGCCTCGCATCAGGTCCAGTCTCAGCAGCTTGGTACGTTGGTATGTATTAATGGTTGTATATATACATATACATATGCGTATATGTACAGAAGCACATGCAATCTTATATTATACACACACGCGTACATAACATGGGCAGGCATGCGTGCACAGAGGTGGCACTGTGCGGTGCCATTCGACACCGTGTTTTTTTGGCTCAAGAATTGGCTCGTGGTGTGTTCATTCGGCGCCAGCGACAGCGGATGATGATGAGGCGCCAGCGACAGCAGTCACGAGCAGATCTCAATGTGTTTTTTTTTGCGGTGCCGGGCATGTATAGATATAAGCCAGATGATATAGGCCGCAACGCAAGTATATGTATATATATATATATACACACATACATACATATATAAGTGTACACATACGTCGGGGCGTCCCCCTTCATATGCTGGTTTGTGGGTTTCCTTTTCCGAAGATACTGTGCAACGTCTTTGAAGCACAGGTACAGATTGGACGTCGCCGACGAATTGCGGCGAGGCTCACGCGTGCACGGAATCAAGCGTCGGCGAGTTGAGCTGCTGCGACGAGAGTGTGGGGAAAGGAGGAGGCATGAGGTGGTTCAGAAAAGGAGGAGGGATTAGTGATGCAGATTCTGTCTCTTCTTAGCCGCAACATTGTAGGAGGACGCCGACAAAAACCCTGCGAGGAGGATCTCGCAGCGTGCGGACGTACTTTCGCGCAGGGTGGAGGTTGTGAAGCCGGTTTTTTGTCCTCCGGACCAACGGGGGTGCCTTCTGGAGGGCGACATCCTCGGAGGCGCGTTGGAGGCATTGGACAGATCGAGACCAGATCAAGAAAAGTCCAAACCCAATTGTCGTGTGAGGATATTCGCTCCTTGCGGCGTGGATTCTCTATGCGGTCGTGGTAGGGGCTTGAGGATGGTCGCGCACGTTCGGCGCAAGATCCTTTGGCAGCCAGGTCTTCCTCCGACAAGACCGTTCATGCGAGTCTCATTGGGATGCTCGTGTGTCAGTGTGACATTAAGTTTCGAAGACAGCAACGCTTCCGCAATCTATTCAAGGTTGCTCCAAGAGAATCGTGTCTTGCGGTCTGGGTTGGCAATGTGCTTTGCATGCGGCTGTTTCAGGGTCGCGAGTAAGGGCGCGTTTCGCGCGGCGGCTGCTCCTTTGGCAACGAGGCCCCCGTTGCTGTGGATGCTGCGCGGAGGCCCAGGCACAGGGAAGAGCTTCGTGGTAGAGACCTTACGAAAACACGTGTTCGAAGGAGTCATGGGCTGGGAACACGGGCTGGACTTCCAAGTTGCTGCGTTACAAGCCGCGAACGCGTCCAGTCTGGATGGGCACACGTTGCACGCCGCGTTTGGGATGACCCCGCACGGCGCCAGTACGGAATCTGGTAGGAAGCGCGGAGAGCCAGGTGCGAAGAAAGTAGAGGCAGCGAAGCGAATTCAGCAGTGGCGTTGGCTCATCATCGACGAAATCCGCATGGTCAGTGCAAATTTTCTTGCAGAGCTGGATGCGCACTTGCGGCCTGTGATGTCAGCAGCGAGGCAAGGCAAGGTGGGCGCCGACAAGGTAGACCGTCCGTTTGGAGGTGTCAATGTGTTATTCTGCAGAAAGTTTCTACCAATTGGAACCTCCTGGCGGAACTCCATCGAATGCGATTCCGACGTCATGGGTGCGGAAGGCGAGGCAGTATGCGCCAGGCGCCGAGGAAGATCATGGTCAGTACATCTCCAGGGGCGAGGGGCCGGGGTCCGTGGCGGGGATGACGGAATTGGTAGAGTGCAAGCGTTTGGAAGAGAAGGACGAGTGGCTCCTGGCAGTACAAGATGAGTTCCGACGGGGAGCCCTGGCCGAAAGGACGCACCAGTTTCTGCATGGAAAACCTACAGATGTTCCAGGGTCTCGGTTGCATGACCAGCCAATGTGTGGTTCGCTATCCTGCGTGCAGAACGTGGCGCCTATCGCAAAGGGCAACGGGCTGGAGCGTGGACAGTGCGCAGAGGAAAGAAAGCGTCGATGTCTCGTCGCCACCAGCGCCGCAGACGAACGGTTCGCACTTCCACAATTCGTCGAAGCCACTGCCATATATCCGAATCAGGATGTGAAGTGCAAAGTAGCGCGGCAGCGGGCCGTCGACTGGGCTGCGTGCCAGAAGGGGCAGATGTCGTGGGCTTATGCGCGGGATAAGGCCACGCGCGCTACGTATCAGGAAAGGCCGTGCTCCTCAGCAGACACAGCGCGGTGGCTCGGATACCGCGACAAGGCCCGTGCAAACGTGCCAGGATGGTTGCCGCTTGCCGTGGGCATGCCGGTTGTACTGGCGGACCATTTGGACAGATCAGAGAAGCAATTGCTACGAGGGTGTCGCGCGACGATACATTCATGGGCGGTAGATGAAGAAGAAGAAGACGTGCAGGACTTGTCGTCGAGAGTCCTGCGCAAGATGCCGAGGCAAATCGCGCTGGACTTTCGCGCCGAGAAGTGGGCGCTGAAAGGGGTGCCGGGGCCCGGACTGCACCCCTTAGTCCCTCGCGCTTGGACGTGGCATCTGGGCTCGCATCGAGAGAAGCCCGCGCTGGGGGCGCGACGGAGACAGTTTATACTTTCGCCCGGGCTGGCGTGCACGGCGCGCGCAGCGCAAGGGCGAACGCTCGACGCGGTAGTAGCGGACTTGGGGGAAGGCAGAAACGTGAGTTGGATGTCGAGCTACGCGGCCATAACGCGCGTGAAGAGTCGACAGGGTCTGCTCATATATCGGCCATTTTCGAGACAGCCGTGCACGCAAGGAGAATTGGAAGGCGCGAGGTTGTTGTTGCAGAAGCTGCGGGGTGAAGCGCTGCCGCGGCCCGACATCGAGGAGAGGTTGATGCCGCGGAAAACATGCGGGAAGTGTCGCAACCTGAAGGAGAAAGCTGACTTCAGCACGACAGAGTTCGGCGCGCGGTCGGGGCCGAGCTTCTGCTGCGAGTGCGCGAAGATGTTGAAGGGGGCAGGGGAGAAGTGGTGCACGACTTGTGAGCACTGGGCCGACATGATCTCCAGAGTGGCGGAAGCCGAACCCGAAAGGAGCAGAGTGTTCGTGCGGACAAGCAAATGCGACAGGTGCGCAGGCCCACCATTCCGGAGGAAGTCGCGGAAATAATCTCTCAAGTGGCAGGGGGATGTGCGAGACAAATTCAAGATCCGTTGCGCGGACTGCCGTGAATTCCTTAAGGCAGAGGCAGAAATCACGGCGAACCAGCGCGCGACGAAGGGCGCAGGGGGGAAGCTCTGCAAGAAATGCGCAGGGAAGCGGAGAGGCGGATGGAACAAGCGGAGCCAATCGCAGAAGAAAACGGAGTGGATGAATGCAACGAACACTGCTCGACAAAGCGCGCGCCAGGAACAGCCGCTGAGGCGTTCGGAGCGCCCAGAAGACGCAGGCGGAAGGGGGCGGGAATTCACGGACGCGGCGCATCTGACAACGCAACAAATCAAACGCTATTATATAACGGGCGCAGCCCATAGGCCAGTGAAATGCCGCGACTGCGACGCGCATCACATGCGATCGCTGGCGCTCAGGCGCGCCGCGTGACCGAAAGAAACAGATGGGAAAGGGCGAGAATTCACGGACAGGACGCACCTAACATATAAGCAAGTGAAGCATTTCTTCGCGAAGGGTTCGGACCATCGCCCAGTCATGCGCCGCGCGTGCCTGGCAGAACGCAATCGGCCGCGAGTGCTCACGTGCTCCGCGCGCCCGAAAGAAGCCGATGGAAAAGAACGAGAAATCGCGGGCAGGACGCATCTGACAGATAAGCAGGTGGAGCACTTCTTCGCGATGGGCTCGGAGCATCGCTCGGTGGTATGCCGAGCGTGCCACGAGCAAAGGCAGGTGGCGAAGAAGTTGGAACGTTCCGCATGTCCCCTGAAGAAGGACGGATCAAAGCCTGCGTTCACTGACGGCGGCCATCTGTCGATAGTCCAGGAGAAGAATTATTTCCACCGAGGCAGTCTGGTGGTTTGCGCCAAGTGCTATAAGGCGGGGCGGGCGCCGCGGAGAGACCGGCGAAACGCCTTGCGGAGGAAAGTGGCGAGCAAGGTGGGAAGCAGCGCAAGTTGCGAGGAATCTAACCGCGAGGCGCGCGCGCGTCGTCTTTGGGGCTCTCTTGGGCCGTCCTCGGCCTCTCTTGACCCGTCTGGGCGCCCTCTTGGCCTGTCGCGGGGCCCTCGTGGAGGCTTCTTGGATCGTCTTGGCGCGGTCTTGGGAGGCTCTCGGGCCGCCCAGGAGCAGGGGGCACCCCAAAAGGCGCACGTACGAACACATATACGTTTTACGAAGGGAACGGGCGATTTAATACGGCTAGAGGCCCTCTAGGGGCGCATCGTGAAGCTTCTTGGGGCGTCTTGGGGGCCTCTTCAGCCGTCTGGAGGTACACATCCGGTGTCGATTCGTTGATTTGTCCTGCTCTTGTGACCCCCCCTCATTTGGGGGTGCCCAGACGGCCACATGTTAGATATCCCCCCCTGGGATCCCCAAGAAGCTTCAGGAAGCCCCAGGTGGGGTCCAGAAGGCCACACGGGGCCCGGGAGGAAGCCGCAGGAGGTCCCCAGGAGGCCCCAGGAGGCCCCCCGCAACTCGGAGCTCTGAGACGCCGCGCTCGAGGTGGTCCGGCCCGTTTCGCCTGAGACTTCCTCGCAGCATGTTTCGCCCGAGACATCGTCGCAACTCTGGGGTCCGAGATGCCGCGCGCGAGGTGGTCCAGCCCGTTACGCTGGAGACATCCTCGCAACTCTGGGCTCCGAGATGCCGTTCGGGATTAAGAGGAGGTGGAGGAGGAGGAGGAGGAGGAGGAGGAGGAGGAGGAGGAGGAGGAGGAGGAGGATATGGAAGGGAGAAGAAGGAGGAGGATTATGTGGATGAGGGAGAAGGCAGGAGGAGGGGAGGAGGAGGAGGAGGAGGGAGAAGGAACGGAGTTGCAGGAGAGGACCTAACGTGAAGCGAGTGTGACGTGGACTTGTCAGAACGTGTGCAAAAGGTTGTCCGGCCGAGCAAGGCGGTGGAGCCTCTGACAGTGCCGACACGACAGCTTACTCGTTGACCAGGTGCGAGAGAGTGCGACACCCTCTAGCGTTAGCTACCCGATAGGCATGCGTCACACAAGTTTTCGTGTAAACATCTCACGTGCAAACATCATGTTATCATGTTCTAACATGCCATGCCAGCCCGCACTGGACGGGCACGCGATCGACCTTGGAAACCGCAGTGGGTCAAGAAACCCGGTTTGGGGATACTGCGCTCCGGCTGTAATTTTGTAGTCTTTGGCCTCTCTGGGCGCGCGTGCCCAGAGTTGCTCGCGTCGTGAAAGAATCACGGCGGGAGGTTTTGCGCCGTTTCCGGCCCGTGTGGGCTCTCGCCAGGCCTCGGGAGTGTCAAAAACGACCCAGGATAAGGAAACAATGCCTTAGGAGCAGGGTTTGGACTTCCGGGGGGCCCGTATAACAAAATTTCAGGACGTCGGACGTGTGGGTCAGAAAGTTTTTCCGCCGTGGCGTCGGACTGTCAGAGGCGTATCCGTCCCCCGAGAAGCTGGCCACGGATGGGCCCCAGAGGCGGTCTGGGGTCCGATCCTCAGCGGATCCCAGGGTCCGGCGTTAGAGGACGAGGAGGTGGCCGCGTCCCCAGCGCCGACGTCGGGGCCGGAGGCGCGTGGTCGAGGCAGCCCCGTCCTCTCGTTGTCTTTCTCCTCTCGGCCCCCGTATGTTCCTTGCCTCGGTGCAGAGGAGGCGCGCGCCTGCTTGTCTGGCCTGCCGTCTGGAGCTGCGGGCCTGGCCGACATGCGCTCCGACGAGTGAGCAGCATCGCCCAGACGTGTTTATACTGTGTGTGTGCGTCAGCCCTTCCCCCAGGGGGCGACGCGCGCGCTCAGAACTCGTGAGGTATGTCTGATCTGGCCGTGCCGCCAGGGGAACGATACATTGTGAGGTGTTCGTGCCACATGTTCGGTCCAGTCGTGCGTTTCCAAGGGGGGCGCAGAGAACTGATCTGTCATCCTGCGTCCTAGACGAGGCCGTGAACCAGTCGCAGCAGCGTCCAGGCCTGCCGCGCCTGGCGCTCGGCTCTCCGAGCGCGCGGTGCGGCCCGCCTCTCCAGTGTGCGCTGCACGGGCAGGCAGTTGCTGCGGCCTCGGGGCCGCGGCGCGTGCGCGGGGGGGGCTTCCATTGCTGGTGCCTCCGCGCTATGGTGAGAATCGCGCCCGCCTTCACCACAAGGGTGAACAATTCGTAGTTCTACGCGGTACAGGACAGGCTCCTCTGACGGATGCCCTGGCAGGGCAGCAGTTTCTTTTGTCGGGAAACGCGCAGCGAGGTCACCAGAAGGGAGCCTCCTGAGAGAAGCAACGTTCTGTCCAGGGTCATTCTGGCCAGCTTCAGCGAGGCATGTAAGACAAATAGGTCGACCAGGTGCCGACTGGGCAGTGGACAGTTCAGGCGCTGCGAATGACGAGCGCGGAAGCTACCGGCATGGCAAATGTAATCCCGCTTGTGACTAACGACGTCTCCTGCTTGCATTTTCTTCGCCCGGCGCTATTAATGTAAATCGGCTTGGCATGTATGCGACCGTTTGTCCACCTCAGTGTCTTACGTTCCTCTCGGTGTGTGGCTTGCTTGCTTGCCCGAGGTCTTGAAGAAGGAGGTGTCCCAGCGCGCAGAGGAGATGGAGCGCCAGCTTCACACTGAGCGCTCCGTGCGCGCCGAGGGCTTCCAGCTGAAGGCCAAGCTGGACCAGCTCGCGGAGCAGAACAGGGAGGACACCGCGTCTCCCCGCCCCTGGTGCGGCCCGAGAAGTCGCATGCGGTGTTGAGGGGGTGGCCAGGGTGTCGGGGGGCCTGCCGAGGTACCGAGGTATCCAGCAGAGGACCCCAGAAATCCCCAAGAGGTCCCCGCGGAGGCCTCCAGAGCTCCCCGGAGGCTTCCAGGGGTTCAAGAGCGACGTCCCCGACCAGCAACACTTCTGGAGCCCATCGTGACCATCGTGGCTGATCAACCCTTGTCTCCTCATTGCCCCTGCTGGTTCCCCTCGCGCCTTCCCGCCTCCCCAGCAGTCTGAGCCTCACAGAGCGGCCTCACAGCGCAGCCTCTCTGCCATTGAACAGTGCAACGCGAGATGTGCATTAACTCTCGCCGAAGTCTGCGAGAAAGGCTGATCAATCCGTGCGACTTGTTTATCCTCCTCCCTCACTCCGCGGTTGGAATTTAATCTGCCTCTTGGGGAGTCGATCTCCCAGAACCCTGGGAGGCGGTGGATACGGACATAGTTGTTGCACGGTGGGGCTAAGAGATATCCGAGAGAGCGTGATCCACCGCCGCTTTACTGTGGAAAATGGCCGCCCTTTTCCTCTGGAACCCGGGGGTCCCCCCTCCCTCCGAAAATCCCCCCCCCCTTCCCCCCCTGCTAGAACCTCCCCCCCCTCCCCCGGCAAACCCCCCCCCCTCCCCTAACCCCTAACCCCTCCCCTCCCCCCCCCCTCCCCCTCGAAAACTGGGGGGGGTCACTACCGGTTCGACCCCCCCCCCTCGAAAACCGGAGGGGGCGGTCACTAACCCCATGCCCCCGATAATAAACCCTAAGGGATAATAAAGTTCGGGGTTTTCGTGGGGATAATCTAAGTTGCCCGCCAGAGCCAGCATAAAGAGATATCAAGAGGAAAAATCAAAAGATATCAAAAAGCCAAAGATATCTTGAGAATCCTTGGTCTTTGGTCCTCTATGAGACATCCTCAACAATGATTCGTCTCGGTTGAGACATCCTCCACGACATCCCTATGGATGTTTCTACATCCCTATAGATTTCTATATGAATACTTATAGAGTTCGATCGATTCCTTTGGGTTTCTTTGGATTCCTATGGATTCCTTATAGATCTCTATGAGTTTATTATTATTTGATATAGAAATGAATTGACGCTTGCGTCGGCCCCAATAACGAGTTCCATGTATAGTGAACTCCAGCGATAAACAAGTTCAGCGGGGCAGGGGGAGGATAAGAAAGATAGAGAGATACACAGAAATATAGAAAGAGAAGAGGAGGTAGAGGAGGAAGAGGAGGAGGAGGAGGAAGAGGAGAAACAGCAAGAGGAGGAGAGGAGAAGGAGATAGCAAAAATTAAAAGTTCAAAACTTATTAGATTTAATTTGTAAGCGCTTAATGAACATTAAAAGTTTCATATGATCGTGTAGGGTAGCTCATCTGCCTCGGTCTCCTTGGATAATAAAGCACAGCGATAAACAAGTTCAGGGGCCACGGGGAGGAAGAGAAAGAAACATTGATCATTTCGTTTGAGCCTGCATCCCGAAATTATTGGTTTCGCTTGAGGCATCATGAAAAAACGTGTTCGCTTCGCTTGATGCTGTTATCTCAACATGAGAAGGAAGTAACCTCGATGGCGAACTTTCCCAGTGATAATGAAGTTCGGCCTCCGCGCCCCCGCGCCCCCGACCAAACTCTTATTGGTCGACGATAAAAAACTCTAACGACTTGAGGGGGGGGGCGGGTACATTATTATCGTGGGCATGGGGTTACCGGTTCGAACCCCTCCCCACCCCCCCCTCTCACCGCCAGCAAACGACTCCCGGTCCCCACCACCGTCCTCACCACATCCCCCATTGTTGTCCCCAGCACCACTCACCACCACTGTCCCCACTGGTTCCACCACCGCCCCTACTGTCCCCACCAGTGCCACCACCACTGTCGCACTGTCCCCACTGTCCCCACCAATGTTCCCACCACGGCTCCACTCTCCCAACTTTCTCCACGGCCCCAACCATTGCCCGACTAGCCCCACTGTCCCACTGACTCGTCCGCTGTCCCACTGAGCTGTCCCACTGTCCCACCACTGTCCCCACCACTGTCCCCACTGTACCTCTGTCCCATTGTCCCACCGCCGTCCTCGCCATCGCCTTCACCACTGTCCCCACCACCACTGTACCCTCCACTGTCTTACTGTTTCCACCACATTCCCAACGTCCCCACACCACTGTCCCCACCACCACCGTCCCCACCACTGTCCCACTGTTCCCACCATTGTCCTCACCATTGTCCCCACCACTACCGTCCCCACCACTGTCCCACTGTCCCCACCACCGTCCCGCTGTCCCCTCACCACTGTCCCCACCACCACCGTCCCCACCACTGTCCGCACCCCCCCTCGGTTTTCGAGGGGGAGGGGGGGGGGGTCGAACCGGTAGTGACCCCCCCCTTTTCATGATGAACTGGGGGGGGGGGAGGGGTTCGAACCGGTAGTGACCCCCCCCGGTTTTCCGGAGGGGGGGGAGGGGGGGGGAGGGGTTCGAACCGGTAGTGACCCCCCCCGGTTTTCCGCCAGCAGCGGTAGAGCACGCTCTTTCATATCCGCATCCAGGGCCTCCTGAGGTCGCAGGGCGTCGGTTCCCCAGGCGGTGGACATGTTGGAGTGAGGGGGCCGAACGGTCATGCACTGTCCCTGGGCGCGTGGCTGAAGTGGGGTTCGCGGTGCGGATTGCCATTTATTTTTATTGTTAGTATTCGTGTTATTTGTATTCGCATTATTATGATTTGTCTTCTTCTTATGTTTATTACTGTTGTTGTTGTTGTTGTTGTTGTTGTTATTATTAGTATTATTCTTAGTATCGTTTTTGCTGTTGTTAATGGTGGTGTTGTTGTTGTGGTTGTTGTTGGTGGTGGTGTTTTCTTTTATGGTGTTGTTATTGTTGTTGTTGGTGTTGTTGCTGCTGTTGTTGCTGCTGCTGCTGTTTGTATTGCTGTTGCTGTTATTGTTGGCGTATCCCCACCACTCCGTAGCCTTGGCTCAAGCCGTCTCTGGGACCTGGCTCCTCGGCCGGGTCTCCCAGCTCAAGGGGTCATCCCCTAGGAGTTTGCGGGCCGCGCGCTGCCCCCCGGGCCGCGCTCCGGCCATATCAGACTCCCTGGGTTTCGCCCTTGCGGCGCGGCGCGGCAGCCAGCCTGCAGGTCAGGCTTAGCATGGATGGGAACCTGATCGACGACGGATCTAGGATTCCTGGGAACTCCGCGGGCGACGGTGCAAGCCCAGTCGACGGCCAGGGGGCCCACGGACTGGCTGGTTCAAGACATCCTCACCCAGGATCACAGGACACCATCCCGCCAGGGCAGCCGTCGCCCTCGCTCCCTGGGACCCTCCGAGCACGGGCGGTCCGAACGCGTCCGCGGACCCCCTTGATCATTCCCGTCGACTTTGCATACACACGAGAACCATCGGCCTTCAGCCAGACGGGAGGAGGGGGTGCCTCGGTTAGCGCCGCGAGACACACTGATATTGCGACCTTCAGTCGCTTCCCTGGGTTTGACAATGACAATAATGACTCCTTCCCGCCGGACTTGTTTCCCTCCCTTACCCCGACACTTCCTCTGCCCCTGGCGGGGCGTCCAATTTCCTTCTCTCCTGGCGGTGAAGGGCAGAACTGGATCGCCCACGGCGGTGCCAGGACCACGGGGGGCTCTGGCCCCGCCCCTGATCAAATGCATCCCCCGACGGACTCAGCCCCAGTCTGGCCGCGCAGGAGTTCCCGCCAGAGAGGCGCTCTCGGAGATCGCCCCGTTCCCGATGAAGAGCATCCCCCGAGAGACCCAGGCCCATTCTGGCCGCGCAGGAGCGACCGCCAGAGGGTGGCCTAGGGTTGAGGCCACCCAAGGGGGTGACCGCGGTTACGAAAGGAGGGGGGGGCGGACAGTCGCCTGCCCATGTCCCCGATCCGCATCCTATGGGCTTGCGCCTCCACTCCGCCGAGCGCCCCCCCCTTGGGCGCTTCAATGCCGAGAGAAGCAGCCTTCAGCTGCGAAGGGGCCAATCTTCTAACCGTGGAGGCTGGCGTCCCAGTCGTGCAGCCGACTCCCCCCGCGGACGTGAGCCGACGTCTAGACGGCTTTCGCCTTGCGCCCGCCGCCCTCCCTGGATGCGGCAGCGTGGTACACGCAGAAGATGGGCCTTCAGCCCGTGGAGCGCCGTGCGAGACAGCAGGTTTGGGTGAGTCTGCAGCTCGGGATGCTTCAAACGGACAGGTGGACGCCGACGGCGACGCGGCGACCAGCCAACTCCCTGGTCACTCCCGCAATCCCGAGGACTCCCGTCCGCCACCCGCCCCCCAGTCGGACAGTCGAAGACGGGACGAGCCTTCAGCTCGGGATTCTCATGCGGGACGAGCCTTCAGCTCGAGGCTCCAAGGCGCATCGGACAATCACAGAAGGGACGAGCCTTCAGCTCGAGAACCAGAGACAGCGCCAGTGGACGCCGAGAGCGCCGCAGAAGCTGTAACCACGAGTGGCGACGAGACCGACCCCCCTGCCATCCCTGGTGAACCCACTCAGGGCCTCCCCCACCAGGTGGATCCCCGAGCCAGCCGCGGGCGACCGACCGACCCCGCCGACGTAGTCGTGGAGGAGACTGGCTCCACAACGGGGCCGTCCCAGAGGCGACACTTCGAGGGCCGCGCGGCTGGCGCAGCCAGCGGTGCAAGCGGATCATTTGGCTGCCGCCATGACACCGCCGCTCCCCTCCCTGGAGACATGGACACCGCTACAGCAGCAGCGCCCAGCTCCCACGCCGCTAACCTCACCGACGGGACAGGCCTTCAGCCAGGAAGAAGCGAGCAGGAGACAGTTGGGTTGGGCGACAGGGGTTACAGAGCGGCACGTCCCGCTGCTGATAACGTTGAAGCGACCGACCGCGACCGACCTTCCTTGGCAACGACGACGGCGTTGTCTGCGGGCCGACTCCGCACACCCGATGCCAGCAGGG